GGAGGAGCTTGGTTTATGCTAATGTAATTTGAAGCTGTGTTTTGGAAACAATGCAGAAAAGTGAGAAACGACATTGACTGCAGCAGCAGATTGGACAGAAACATCCAGAAGATTGGTACTGTGTTTTTAACTGTGGTTTGACTTGACTTTTAGCGTGAGTCATTTTTATGTTAAATCCAACTTTGTCGAAGGTGCATGAAATGTGAGACAGTGTTAGCACCAGGTGTTTATAGCCACTGGCAACTGATTCATGGGAAATATATTCACAGTAGTAAAGATTTAAGTACATTAAATAATGACATAGTAGGTATGAGCTTGGAATATCACCAGTTTTTTTTTTGTTTTTTTTTCTCTCAATGAGAAAAATGTGTAGATTTTTTCCAGGTATTACGGTTTCTTCCCACAGACTGGCACTGGTTTTGGGAGAAATATGTTTTGATTGGGTTTAAAGATTTAATATATATAGATACATACATAATTATATTGCAGACCAAAGGGTGGAAAAGTGGTTAGTACTGTTGCCTTATCACAAGGAAATCACCAGTTTGATACCAAGGGGTAAACCAAATGGTTGTTTCTCTCTCTATATTTATATGACCTTATGATGGACTCCCACCATGTCTGTATAAAGAATTAGTCGTGGGATTATATGATTGAATAATATTGTAACATCACACATTTTATGTACCGAGATATTACAACTGCAACTGCAAAGTTCACCTCACAGGTGAGGAAGGGGTTTCATGTCTGTAAACATGGAGTCCGGTGCATATAGAAATGCAGGGATGTGATTAACTGCTGCGACCTGCAGTGACGATGGCCACTGAGTGTGAGTGACCACAACCAAACACATTAGTGACCCTTCACTTTAGATCGTACATTCACACATTGGACACACACACACACACACACACTGTGTTACTCTGTATCCCCCCCCCCACAGGTTGTATTTCAGGTGTGGTTAAAACCTAATTTTCACTGTTCATCCCTGAGCACACACACACACACACACACACATCACAGTGCAGTAAGTGGAGCCTTTCCTTGAAATAAAAGTGAGAGGAATTCTGTGGCTAATTTATCATCCCTTATATCGCCGCTGACCCATGTGTATCAAAGACATGACCTCGCAGTTACCTTGGAAACCAGGCTGGCTCTGTAGGCGGCCAGGGCTTTCAGGTACTCCTTCTTTGCAGCCTCTGTTTTCCTCTTGTAGCTCTGCAGGAGAAAACACAACAACAACAAAAAACATTGATTATAAATTGATGCCAAAGGCTGAAATGACTATGTGGTCCACGGTGACTGATGTGGAGAAGATTTTGGGAGTCATGGCCTGATTACGTGACCTACGTATCGGTGCGGCCCAGGGAAGAAAAACACCCCAGATGCATCCAAACGAGCTTTCACCAGCTGCATCATGTCCACGCATCTGAATCACTTATTGCTTTAAATGTTTTGATTGGGAAGCGAAGCTTTACCACGGATAGGCTGGTGAGTAATGGGTTGTGGTCAGACTTGAGTTCCTTTGTCTCTGAGGAGTGTTCCAGGGAATCATTGACATCACGTAAGAAGGATCACGTCGCCATCACCTGTTTGCTCTTTATATCTCTAATTGGGTTTTTTAATGCATTGAAAACAGCTCATTTAAAAGTAAAACAGAAAACCTTTAAAGTCTTAGAGAAAACAGGGATTGAGACTGGTTCTGAATTTGAAGACCTGGTCGGGTAGTAGGATTGGCTTAGCTTAGCCGAACATCTGTGCTGACTGACTGCTGCAGTAAGAACCTCACGAAGTTTTCTCTCTGCTCTTTGTCTGTTGTCGTCAAATCATTCTGTCGATCATCTTTTATCTTAAGTTTTCTCTCTGCTCTTTGTCGTTAAATCATTCTGTCGATCATCTTTTATCTGTTCATCCCTCGTCTTATATTTGTGAAACATCATTTTATATTTAAGTCTAAGAATGTCATAGAAAAAAACTCAGTCAATAATAATTATAATTTAAACTTCATTGATCCAACACTGGGGAAATTCTTGTATTTACAGCAGTATTTACTACTGTAACAGACTGCCCAATGGGAGGCGCCAAATACGTGGTTCCTCTGGAGATCAAACCCAGGACCTTTGCTTGTTAGGGAAATGATTATAAAAATCCCACAGCGAAAACAAATGTCACAAAATGTATATGTAATGGTCTTCTAGTTCCAAACTACCCAAAATTTCCGTGTGTCAAACCTTGATCTATTTAGTTGAACACAACACTGATTACATTAGCAGGAATTGAAGAAAGCCACGGCTTTGAGTCTCTCTCTTTTTTGCTATGATAACAACCTACTGCCACCTAGTGAAAGAGTACTTGATTGTTCTGACTATCACTTTTGCATAGATCAACAAAGACAAAATCTTTGGAGTAAATAAATAACGTTTTTTAGATTACTTTCGAAGCTACTCTCCATCTCTCGTGTCACACTAACGGCCGAGGCACAGTGGTTGGAATCACTGAAATAGGATGCACAATGAATAAATGTCTCTAATTGATGTTAGTGGGACTCACTGTGCAAATCTGTGTGTGTTTGTACTGAACAGTTTATCATGACTGGGCGTACCACTAAGCTATGATGCTTTCAAATGAAAACATTAGTTAAGGTGTTGTTAGAGAAGAGAAACACAAAGATGTGACAAAACCTACTCCTCACGCCTCAAATATTGATAGAGCCACTTCAATGAACTCCAAACTGCTTTAATTCCAAATTAATTTAACACAGCTAATGAGTGGTCCAACGTGGTATACTTTTAAATAAATTACCATGCCTCGGGATGTCTAATTATGCAGAAGTGAGTGGATATATTAACGATTGAAGCCGACAGAGGCTGCAGGTCAGCGTGAATTAAAAATAACAAAGCTGCCTCCGTCGTAATCCTCACACAGAGGTGTCCCGCCTGAATTAGCCCCTAATTGTACCTTAATGAAATGTTCTCGTTTGATAACCAGTTAATTACACAAGACAATAACGTTGCACCCTGCTGCCTGCGAGGGGAGTGATTACCCTCGACGACCGAGCAACCGGTGAGGGTGGATGGAAAAGAGAGGAGGCGATTGGAGAAGTGAAAACTGGGGGAAAATCACAAGTGTTTTTCTAAAACGGTGGGTGCTGTTGAAAACTGACTCCAAATTAGGATGTGGTCGATGATTTCTTCAATAACGGAGAGATATTAGAATTTTTTTTTGGAAGAAGTTAATTGTTCCTCAAAATTCCTCGAAAACACAACGAGACGTCCAAATTGTTTTGTATTTGTTAATTGATCCATTAGTTATTATTTATCACAACCCTTCACTCAAATGTTAAAAAGTTGTTTTTCTTCTGCCTACTCCAACCACAACAAGCGTTCACACCAGCGTCTCTCCTCCCTCCACCCTAACTACACTATTATCCGCATACTTTTGGTAAAGACTGAAAATTGATCGTAATACCCCAAAACACAAAGAAAAAGAAACAAACTCTTTTGTGTTTCTGGGTTGCTTTTAACAAGTAGTCAACTTGAGGAATAACTCAGCCCAAATATCTCATTGATCTTACACAATAAAGCAAGGACCCCTGGGAATTAAAAAGAATAAGCTGTGTTTTCAAAAGCTGCACGAGCATAATGGAAAAATGCTAATATGAATAAAAAAAGGAGGGGAAAGAAAAATCTGTTCTGTAAAACACCAGAACACAACAGAAAATACACACCGACTCCAGCTTTGGAGCTAGAAGAAGAAAAACACAAAAAACATCTGAACTAATGTTGCGCTGATATTTTTTACTCTTTTTGAATAAAACAGAGCAATGAAAAATGCTGCTTTCAGTGCTTTTTTGTAAATTCAGCTACATGGTGTGTTTGAGGAGCAGTGCAGGTAATTGGAAACAGGGGCCACGTCCTAGTTAAAACAAGGGCTGTGTATAGGGGAAGGGTTGTGTTTACATTCTGCAGCTCCTGCGTGGCTCCAGCGGGTCTGACTGTGATGTTATGGAGCGCACCTCATCGCTCCTATAGGAATGACGTGACAGCGACGGAAAAAAATACAAGAACAGACACAACAGTGTATACGTGGGCTGAAGGAGAGGAATGAGAGACGGGGGGGGGGGGTGAACATGAACATTTCTGCCTGTTTTACAGTTAGAAGTTGAATTTGGGTTTATACGCAACGGCAAAAAGAAAATCGACTTTGTTCGCTGGTTTTCGCGGAACCGTCGACGGTGCGGCCGCATGAGAATAATTGCAACAATTACAGCATTACTGCTCCAACAGGGTGGAACATTTCAGCCCGTAATGATATCATTACCTCATGTTAATTATCCGTCTTCTGAGGTGACATGTTTGATTAAACACATGAGCGCACAAACAAATCGAAAAAAAAAAATGGCTGTGGGATGGTATAACAAATGAGCGAACGTGTGGATATTTATGGCGGCAATGTCCTTTTGGTGGTCTCTCAGAAGGACAGGTAAGGAAACAGGGACAGAGACAGACACAGAGACAGGCAGACTGGCTGGTGTGCAGAGTCTGTGTCTGAAGAAAAACAAAGGCCAGGAAAGGGTTAAGAAGCACAAACAATAACATTTCAGGAGCAGATGTCCTTGAGGCGAAACCAAGGACGAGGCAATTGCTAATCTCGTATTCTCAGCATGATCAAATCACCAGGCAACAGATATAAATAAAAGGACAGGAAATGAGGAATTCACATTCAAGGGTGTCAGCGGCGAAATGAAGATTCATGGTGAAGAGCCCCCGTGAAGGCAGCAAAAATTAACTGCAAATAAAAGGGACACACGGCCTCCAAAGTCCGATGTATAAAGTAGGTTTTGGTGGAAGAAAACACATACACACACACACACACATATATATATGCTAGATGGGCTCTATCCGACAGCGGCTGGGGCCGAGGAGGGGTTGAGAATGGGCTGCACTTTGTCATGAAGACAGGTGCTTTTATTTGACACCCGGTAGCTGCGCCCTGACTGGATATATACTAAAAATATGAGTCTGTGCATGATCATCAGACTGTCTCATTTTTTTTTTCCTTTGGCTTCACACCATCATTTCTTACACAAACACAGAGATGCCTCTTTGACTTTGTCTGCAATTCTAAAAGAAAAAAGAAAAATAAGAAAAAATATGCCACGGAGACAGTTAAAGTTCAAAGCCAACAAATCGGCTGAAATAAAAATAAAGTCATTTCAGATAACGAGAATTAATTACACATCTACGCCTGGTGAACACCGTTTTGTCATGTGTTTCAGGGTTGTTTTTAATTAGAGAAAGTACAGTGGCTGAATCAAAAGGCTGGGCGCTGTTAATAAATGTCATGGATGTGGGTGTATTTTGAACTAAAGCAGCATTAGGACAATAAATACAACTGTGTCGACCAATAAAAATACACTGATCCCTCACTCTCCTATGGCGGTAGTTGCGTTCAAAGACCCACCGCGAAATGGAAAAAATCGCAGTAGAGGCGAGTTAGTTATTATATTATTTACGTATATATTTACCCTTTATGATCCTCCTCCACACTGTTATCAACCCTCCCTAAACTGGATTAGCCTTTCCCACACAGTAGAGTTGTAGAACGGCGACGCAGAGCGAAGTGAACGAGAGAGTGGTCGACAGACGAGGGGAGATGCTGAGAGATGCTACGATGGATGAGCCAATCAGCGTGAGGAACAGAAGAGCATGATCAATTAGCCAATACACAGTACATAGTAGTATGCACTGTATTAGCCAATAGTACGCTGTGTACGATTCCGTCTAGGTAAACAAAGCTACCAGCGATCGTTCGCAAATGAGCTTATCTCAATTTCAAAACAAAAATCAATGTTTTCCATTTTTAAAGCCAAAACCTTCGTATGTATAATTGTTTTATAATGTCTTTTAGTTTGTTTGTTTGTTTGTTTGTTTTTTTGCCGTATTTTGCGATATAGAAAAAATTTCCAGAGATCGGATTAAAAAAAATATCTGTGATGTGATGATGAAGCGAAAGAAGAACCACGATATAGACATATAACCTTATATAACCTTATATTTTCACTTGAGCTTTTTCATTCATCTGAGCTGTAGCTCTGGGGATGGGAATCAGGAACCAGTTCTTGTGGAGAACCAGCCCAAAGATCAGATACCTTGGAATCATAGTGAGCGCTAACACAGGCAAATCGATAAGGTATGGGATTGACTAAGAATCGAATTGATCCAAAATTTAATAAACAAGGAATGGAATTGTTAAGGGATCTAATTGATAAGGAACTGAATCCAAATCACTCAGGAATTGAATCGATGAGGAAATCAAATCAATAGGTGGCATCTGAATCTGTGATTCTTGATCAAATCCCCTCCCAGTGCAGATTAAATCAATCTGATTTCATGTCTAAGTCTCAGATCCTTCAGGACACATATTTATATACAATGCCACTCCACCTGTTTCTGCTCTTCTCCCAGTCCGTCCCACATGGAGGCAACTATCTTGGAGACGTCCCCGAAGGTGGCGTTGGGATTCTGTCCCTTGATGGCTGCCTGAGTGTCTCTGAAGAACAGCGCGTAGGCTGACACCGGCTTGGTGGGCTCATTGGGGTCCTTCTTCTTCTTCTTCTTTTGGGGCTTGGGTTTGGGCTTCATCATTTCCGAAGACGGCCGTTTCTCACCTGTGATCTGAAAGCCGCACAAACACACAAGCAGACAAAGGGAAAGAAGAAAAAAATTTTTATAATGAATTATTTCACCGGATGTAAGGCTTTTTAATTTCATTAACCCATAAATTAGCCATTGTGTAGTCAGCATGAGAAACACAAACTCAGGTTCACACCCCTTCTGTGTTTGCCTTTAAAATAAGAACAACAAAAAAAACCCCATCTGTTAGTGAAATTTATCAAACTCTTTTTAAATCTCTCTTG